TAACCTGTATCTAACGTTCTTTTAGCGCGTCTAAGTGGTGTTGTGGGGAATGCATTAGTGTAGGAAAGGTGGTTTAGTGGGGTCTTAGCAAAAGTAAGCGACTTGGGTGTGTGAGCAACTCGCCCATGAAGTACGTTAAGTAATAAACATAAATAGACTTATTAATAAAATCTAAAATATATCTAAATATATTTATAAAAAGCTTATATAGGCTTAAGCTTTTTAATAAGAGTATGTAAACTAATTTTAAACTTCTGCCCTTATGTATGCAGCTAGTAAGAAGGTCTAGCTAAACACTAGAAATATCTAAATAAACTAATAATTAAAGAAACTTAATTAGAAAAACTTTAGCCTTTTTACAGTAGCCTATATAGTTTTATTATATGCTTACTAATTAATCCTACCTAACAGCATAAAGATACACCCTGTGTTCTACATATTATTACTGTGCTAAGTAGCTTTTAAATCTAACTATTTACTTAGATAGCTAAACTTGCTACCTAAACTTATTATTATAAATAATAAACTAGAATATATTGTAAAAGATGTTAAATAGATTTAGTTTAATAAAAAAAACATATCTATAAATACTTTATAAAATAGACTAGATATAATAAACTGTTATAGAAACCTGCAGAAGCTCTATAAAAAAACTCTATAGTAACCTAATTCTACGCCTAATACCTATTTAAACTAAACCTGTACTCTAATAAAAACAACCTAATGCTAGAACTACTAATATAAAGGATTCTCTTTTTAATAAGGGGGGGAGTACTGTTACAGTATCCTCCCTAGATCCTAGACATAACTGTATTAGACGTGTACTAGAGTATTATTAGTGCACGTCTAATATAAACACAACATAATATAGATATAAACTTAAGTATAAACTACTTTAACACTAACTAAACCTAGAACAGGCTTAATTTATACCTAAAGCGCTTAGACTTTTAAGCTTAGTATTTAATTACTAATTTTCTCTTAAACCTTCCTGTTTCTTACACAACGTCTTGTACCTACTATAATACCTCACGTAGTAATTAAACTAGACCTCTGTGAAGCTCTATAACCTTACTCGTGCACAATCGTGACACACTAAACAGACACTACCTCTTTCCTACAATAGATTTTAGAATCTAGAACAAAATTAACTTCTAAGGTAAAGACAGTTCTAGGTTCTAGATGTACTAAAAGATGTAAGTTAAGAAAAAGCAGTAATATTCTGCAGCTTAAGGTTAAGGTTTGCATTTCTATGCTTACTAATAAAAGATGCATAGAGGTGACGCAGCTAGGCTAAAAACACTATTATAGCTATAAACTTTTAACCCCTTTTAACAACCTATTAATAAGACTCTTACTACCTAAATACTTTGTTAGGACTTCTATTAATAAGACTCTTATTACCTAAATACTTTATTAGAACTTCTATTATTTAATACCTGCATATTCTAAGCATTTATAATGCATCTTCTAACTATCTTTTAAAAATAGATAGTAGATTAACTTAACAAGGCTAAAGCACACTTAACATATTAGTTAGATAATAGAGAGACAAGCTAACTCTCTAGCATAGAATTAGAAAGTTTTATACTAGTAATAAGAGTAACAGGTGCTAGAAAGAGCTACTTTATTAATTAACTTAAACTAAATTTAGTAACAGAAGAGCATAGCCTTGTGTCTTATTAGTAGCTATGTATATACTAATACTCTACTATTTGCTAACAACTAAGTAACAGAAATAAAAACATGTAAGCTTGTATAAATAAAGATTAGCGCTTATACTGTAGCTGTAATAGACACTCTAGGATTTAATAATAATAAAGATAGCAACGCAGTAGTACTGTGTATATGTAATTGCTAACATCTGCTTAAATTTCTTACTAACCCTATTTAAAGCAAAGATAACTTAATTTCTTACTACCTAGTACCTTCTTAGCATCTCTTTAAAAGAAATTATTTTACTACATAACATCTCTTTTACCTAGTTTTTAGGCTCTAAGAAAAGATACCTTAACACTTTTTAATAAATATCTAGTAAGCACACCTTTACTAATGTAGCCTTTATAACTACTATGTAGGCTTTAGTTAATAAGAGTATTAGCTTACAGCGTAAGAAAGAGCTGTAGATTAGGCCTTAGGCTAATCTTATCTCTAAAGGATTATACACCTTTTAGTACAACAGAACTTTAGATATAGCCTAGACAATTGCTGTTTAAATAATAGCAAAAGATAATATAGTGCTCTAGATTTAGAAAGAGCTTAAGATTAGCTACTATAAGTTAGAGAGCACCTTTGCTAGCGCTAAGCTAGCTGCAAGGCTAGAAAAGCAGCTAGAGAAACGCTGTAAAATAATTTAAGATCTTAACACTTAGTTAGTAGTTGCAAAAAGAAGTTATAATTCTAGCAAAATGTAAAATATAAATTAGCAATTAGCTGCATAGAGAGAGAAACAGCTTTAATAAATTAAAGCTAGAGCTAAACTAAGAGCAAAGATTAGCAAGGAAACAGAGAAAGCAATTAAGAAGGTAGATAATAATAAGAAGAGGAAGAGAGAGAAGTAGAAGAGTAGGCTTTAAATTTTTACTGCTGCCTTAGGACTAGTAATTGCACTAACTGTAAATCTAATTCTACCTTCAGCAGAAGTAACAGTAGGCTAAGTATTGCATTATAATTTTTTAAGTACCTTTATAGTGTTATAAGTAGAGTTCTTGTAGCAACAGAAGGTGTTAGCAGAAGAGCACCCACACTAACTAGCGTCGCAGCACGCGCTTGCAATTGTATACAAAGTAAACAGACAAGTAAAGAGGGCAATAAAGCTGCTAGAGCATGTTGTAGCCATAGAAGTAATAGTTCTTTAAGAAGACCATCCTTTGCAGTTAGTATTACAAGAAGCGCTTGCAAGCGTTATGCGCAACTACTAGTTAGCTAATAGTTAATGTAACGTTAATTTACTTTTACTTTATAAAGTTTAGAGTTAGGTGTAACTATAGAGCAGCGTAATAATCATTAGCTTTAGTATTATAGGCGCATTGCTTTTAGGTTAGTTGCAAAAGTAAATGCTGTGCAACTAGTCTAATCTTATATTATTATTAACTAACAAAAATTTATAGTATAGGCCTATAATTTATGTATATAGCACTTCTAGGCTCTCTTTTATAGACATGTAGAGGTATGTTCTAGAAGCTTTTCTGTAAGCAGGATACAGTTATAGCAGGTTCTTTAGGGGTACGCGATCCTGCCACCGCGAGCAGGGAGGACGGCCAAACCGCACCGGCACTAACCTTGTAGAGTGGCGAGTTCTTTAGGTGTTTTTAGAGAATTAGATTAACAGGTTAGAAGGCATAGCTTAGTATAGGTTAATAGGCAGAGGCTAAGTTGTGACTAACACATGCCGGCTAACTAAATTAGTAGGCTAAGCCTACTGCTTCTAATCCTAAGTTAGGATTACTTATCCTCTAATGCGCACAGCTCTAAATTAATAGTAAATTACCTGCAGAGTTATATCGCATTAGCTAGGATTAGCAGTTCGCTTCTGCTAGAAGTATTAATAGTATAGCAGCCCGCTATAAATTTGCTCGCGACAGCGCGCATAGAGCTAATAAAGGCTTCCTAGCATTAGGGATAGGTTCTAGGGCTTAGGTAGAGTTAGTCTACAAAATTCTAAGCAATAAAAGCTTAGTGTTAGCGCTATAGAAAGGAAAGTCTAGTTTGTTACAAAAGAAGTCTCTGTACAAATTAAGCTTAGAAGGATACAAATGTAATTTTTAGAGAGGAGTGTTTATAGACATTAAGAATTAGCTATAGCATATTATTCTTATATAATAATAGTTAGATTTAATGTGTGCATAGGTTTTGCAGTTGCTGAAAGTTAAAGTACCCCTTATTTGTCCCGCCACACAGGGTGTCCCGCGACGCAGGGATGCACATTAGTAAGCCTTAATTATTAATAGGCTAGACATCTATATAGATTACTATTAAAGTAGGCGCGCACACATAGCGTTTAGTTTAGAGGACACTGCTAGTAGTGCAAAGGAATACTTAGAGCAAGGACACCTAGCTAAATTAGACTAGTTTTAGTTTAAGAAAGTAGAGAATATAATAGTAATACTTCTACCCTAATTACTACTAATAAAGACTATTAGTTTATAAAGAGGGGAGTAGTGTAACAATTCTTACAAGTTGTTCTATCTTAGGCGGCCTAGAACCTCTAGAAGGTCCCTGTATTAGCCCTGACCCTAACTTGTATCAGCCCCGACCCTGCCCTGCCCTGCCCCCTGCTGTTACCCCTATTCCCCTAAGTATTTAGTTGCACCTCTCCCCTGTAGCTAGCTTAGTAGTTTTCTAATATCCTTTGTACAAGGCCTATAGGTGTTAATGGAATTCCCAGGTCATTGAGTCCCCACGCACTCACATATGCCTCTGAGTGGATTCCTACCCCATTCGGACCCATTGTCTTGCCTGCGCCGTTACAATATTTTAGTATTAATAATCTATTATTAACCTTTCACAGATTAGGAGGTAATATCTTCTCTTTACATAAATTTAACGTCTAATAGAAAACATAAACTCTACTCTAATTTGCTTAAAGCATTAGGTTTGTATCTACAAGTTGCAGGTTACAAGTTGTACAAGTTGTCTGCCTAGGCGGGTGGACGCCCCCTCCCCTGCAAGCCACAAAAATTCATGTGAAGAGGAGGTAGTACCCCTCAATCTGTGAATGGTTAATAATAGGCTATTAAAACAAAAAGTTAAGGCTGAATTAAAGACATTTTGTGCCAATAAGAAGGACGAGAATTGCTTTTATTCTCAGCTCACATTGCTCAGCCACCGCCGACACGCCTAAAATAGTGCAGTCAGAAATGCTTTATCGGGAAATTCCGTTCATCCTGCTAGATAAAAGAAATATCGGATGGACTTTTTATCTTTATATGGTTCGCTTAGAGTACACTTCTCAGTCCGTCTATTTATATGGAGACGAAGCTCATTCTTTTTAGATCATTATGGTTTTGCATAATCTCTGTTGGATCTACTTCATCATTGCAGTATGCTCTACCGCCTTTGCATATGAAAGCTACCCGCCAGAAATAACGCCTTTCAGCGTACCTGCTTTAGAACCGAGACAGGTCCTCTCTCAGGAATTTGTGGGATATTTCAATCAGCCAGGCTCTAATGATTGTAAGCAAGACACAACGCCTCGATGCAGTCCGTGATACTCTCTGCTAATTGAAGAGCAATAGACACAACATGGAATTGCCCTGAAGGGTTTGGTCCAGGGTACACTTGGTGTACCTTTGGCAGTTACGGAGGGTGCCAGGCCACCTCATTGGGAGGGGTTTGTAATCCTTATACGGCCTGTGGGGCTTCAAATGTTATTAAAAATCCTAGTACATCAGCCACCTGGTATGTATCAGCTTTGCCACTTTGATATTCTTCTAACGCGCCCAAGTACGGGAAATGCTTACCCTACATGCGTCACGGACCGCATATTTGAAAGTTACGGGGTGGCATCCTTCGTAACCTGGATTGTCTGTGGAGCAAGGCAGTACGATCTGTACCGGGCCTCTCCAACAGCACGCCCTGCTTCGCAAGGGACGAGCGGAAGTTCAACCAGCGCCCTCCCGTCGCAGCCAACCTTGTCGGATTCGTCGGCGATTCCAACTACCACAAAGGCCTCAGCATCTTCAACTCGCAAGAGCCCGGCGTGGGTTTTGGGTGTAATCGTAGCCTGTATAGTCATCGTTCTGTGCTGCTAGTCTTCTGTGTAAGACGCGTTGCGAGACAGCCGCGGATGCTTAGTCAATCTGCGCATTCAATGTCGGCTCTCATCGCGGATACATCACGGCCGCAAGGAAGCGATCGCGTATGTGGGAAATCGACAGGTAGTTAGGTCAATGTTGGCCAAATAGGTGGACATATATTCGAAGCATTAGTACTTCAAGCTTTTTATATTCATTATGCACCTGGGAAGTGGTATCAATTGGAATCATGACCAATATATCAAATTCATTGTAGCCTTGAACAGCCTTTTAGAATTATCAGTGCGGTACACTCTGCAAGTTGTCAGCATGAAATCTAATATTTTAAGGGAATCTTAGGCTCACATCTGCTGTGTTTCGATTTCTCGGTAATCCTAGTACTTCCTAAGTATAACAGGGACATTGGATGACCCTAAGGGTGCCCTGGGAGATGGTCATGGTGGGCTTATGCAGCACCACCACGACAAGGACCAGGCGCCTGCGAAACATTACCGAGACACTAGCGCAATAGAGGGTAGAATTTAGTCTTGACGCTTCCTTAGTGATTGCTACGCTGCTATTGCATTTCCCCTTTTACACTAAGGCATGTTCAAAGCATATCAAAAGACTCCTTGTTAATAACTCTCCACTCTGCTTTACAAATAACCTTGCCTTTGTACGAAGAGATTTGTCAGAGTTTCCCGCAATAGCACTACGAAGTACGTTATTAGGAAGGTAATACAAGCAACGTAATACAAGCAACGTAAGCATGTAATTTTGTATAGAAAAGAGTCCCTCGAATTTAGAGATAGCTAGGGCAGACATCTTAGCATAGTTATAAAAACAAGAGCACTTGCGCAGATGCTTGTGTTTACAAAGTTGTTCTATAATTTTAAGTGTAGTTTATTACAATATAACTATATAAATAGTTACGTAGAGGAGCAGACCTAAGAGCTTTATACTTTATCTAATAGAAGATTTAAACTTTTATAACATAGGCGTGCTACTAGACAGCCTGCTTTGCTATCTTTATAAATATAGCTATTCTCTTAGTATTTAAAAAGCAAGCAAGTAACTTAGATTTTAAAAGCTTTAATCACGCTTTCTACGTTTTATATAAGAATATTTATAAGATGTAGCAATATGTTATAAAAATACTTTAGCAATCTAATTAAATGTTAGATAGAATTGCTAACTACATACTAAAGTAAAAGGAAGGCAGAAAAGTAAAAAGATAGAGAAAATAAAGTAGCTAAAAAAGTCTACTTTTACACTTATCTAGTAATTAGTTAGGCAGGTAAGTGTTTTAGCTAACAAAGAAGTACGTTCTATTCTTTTAATAATATAAGCAAAAGAGTTTCACGTTAAAGCTTCTATATAAAAAAGTATTAGATAGTATAAACTATTTAAAAGTTGCTTTTAAAAAGTAAGAATAACTATAGTTTTTAAAAAGTTACTAGTCTGCTATTTAAATAGTTTATAGTAGTTGTTATTCTTAGCTAGTAGTTGTTATTCTTAGCTAGTAGTTGTTATTCTTAGCTAGTAGTTG